CAGCCAGGCTGGAGTGCAGTGGCCCAATCATAGCTCACTGCAGCCTTGAATTCCTGGGCTCAAGTGGTCCTCCTGCCTCAGCCCCCCAAAGCCCCAGGATACAGGCGTGAGCCACCACGTCTGACCATTTTAGCCATTTTAAAATGCACAATTCAGGCATTTAGTACATTCACAATTTTGTGCAATCATCACCTTTATCTAATGTCAGCACATTCTAATCACCCCCAAAGGAAGTCCCGTCCTCATCAACAGTCACTCTCATCCCCTCCCCAGCTCCTGGCACCCACAAATCCCCTTCCTGCCTCTGTGGATTGACCTGTCCTGGATATGAGACTGCACACAGCATGACCTTTTTTTTTTAGTGGTGCGATCTCGGCTCACTGCAACCTCCGCCTCCCCAGCTCAAACAATTCTCCTGCCTCAAGCCTCCCAGGTAGCTGGGACTACAGGCGCCCGCCACCACACCCAGCTAATTTTTTGTATTTTTAGTAGAGACAGGGTTTCACCATGTTAGCCAGGCTGGTCTCGAACTCCTGACCTCAGGTTATCTGCCTGCCTTGACCTCCTAAAGTGCTGGGATTACAGGTATGAGCCACCATGCCCGGACTGTGTGTCCTGTTGTATCTGGCTTCTCTCACTGAGTGTGATTGTCCTCAAAGGTCATCCACACTGTGGCCTGTGTCAGAGCCTCATTCCTTTTGGTGGCTGTCATGGTCCAGCGTGTGAATGAATCCGCTATATGGACCCATCTATCTGTCAAAGGACACTTGGCTGTTTCTACCATTTACTTGTGAGTGATGCTGCTGTAAACATTCATGTACATGCTTTTGTTGGAATGACCATTTTCCATTCTTTTGGAGATACAGATTGCTGGGAGTTCTGCGTTTGGCTTTGTGTGTGTGTGTGTGTGTGTGTGTGTGTGTGTGTGTGTGTGTTGCTTATTGACAAACCTTTCCAGAGACTTCTGCATTTAATGGCATACATAGCCATCCTAAAAATTTCAGAGAAAACCCATCCTGGCTAACAAGGTGAAACCCTGTCTCTACTTAAAAAAAGACAAAAAACTAGCCGGGGGAGGTGGCGGGCGCCTGTAGTCCCAGCTACTCGGGAGGCTGAGGCAGGAGAATGGGGTAAACCCGGGAGGCAGAGCTTGCAGTGAGCTGAGACTGTGCCACTGCACTCCAGCCTGGGCGACAGAGCGAGACTCCGTCTCAAAAAAAAAAAAAAAAAAAAAAAAATTCGGAGAATAATCTGAACCCCAGAACCTCTGAATGTGACCTTATTTGGAAATAGGGTCACTGCAGATATAATTAGTTAAAATGAAGTCATTACTGGAGTAGCGTGGGTCCTAAGTCCAACATGACCGCTCTCCTTATAAGAAGATAAAATTTGGACACAGACACAGAGAAGAGACAGCCAAGTGACAACAGAGGCCAAGACTGGAGTTATACATCTAGAAGCCAAGGAACGTCAAGGAAGGCCACCCACAGCTGGAAGCTGTGGACGCCAGGCAGGATTCTACCCGGAGACTCTGAGGGCCCTGCCAGGACCTTCATTGTGGAATTCTGGCCTCTGGAGTTGTGAGAGGATCAGCTTCTGCTGTTTTATATCTCCCCATTTGTGGTGCTTTGTTTTTGTTTATTTTTTATTTTTTAGGGGTGGGAGGTCTCACTATGTTGCCCAGGCTGATCTTGAACTCCTGGCTCAAGTGTCCTCCTGCCTTAGCCTCCCAAAGTGCTGGGATTACAGTTGTGAGCCATTGTGCCCACCCCCATCCCACACTGCTGATGCTGCTGCTTTTTTTTTTTTTCAGACAGAGTTTCGCTCATGTCACCCAGGCTGGAGTGCAATGGCACGATCTAAGCTCACTGCAACCTCCACCATCCAGGTTCAAGCGATTCTCCTGCCCCAGCCTCCTGAGTAGCTGGGATTACAGGCGCCTGCCACCATGTCTGGCTAATTTTTTGTATTTTAGTAGAGATGTGGTTTCACCATGTTGGCCAGGATGGATGGTCTTGAACTCCTGACCTCAGGTGATCCACCTGCCCCAGCCTCCCAAAGTGCTAGGACTACAGGCGTGAGCCACCGTGCCCGACAGCTTTTTTCTTTGAGACAGGGTCCCACTATATTGCCTAGGCTGGAGTGCAGTGTCACAATCATAGCTCACTGCAGCGTCGACCTCCCTGGGCTCAGGTGATCCTCCCACCTGGTTCTCGTGAGTAGCTGGGACCGAGTGCCTGCCATCACTCTTGCCTAATTTTTTTTTGAGACGGAGTCTCACTCTATTATAGCCCCAGGCTGGAGTGCAATGGCTCAATCTTAGCTTACTGCAACCTCCACCTCCCAGGTTCAAGTGATTCTCCCATCTCAGCCTCCTGAGTAGCTGGGATTACAGGCACTCAGCATCACGCCCAGCTAATTTTTGTATTTTGAGTAGAGACAGGGTTCCACCATGTTACCCAGGCTGATCTCAAACTCCTGACCTCAGGTGATCCACCCACCTTGGCCCCTCAAGGTGCTGGAATTACAGGCATGAGCCACTGGACCCGGCCAATTTGTTTGTATTTGTGAGATGGGGGTCTTGAACTACTGGGTTCAAGCAATCAGCCTCTCAAAGTGCTAGGATTACAGGCATAAGCTACTGCACCCCGCTGTTTCTTTGTGGTTGAGACAGGATCTTGATCTGTCACCCAGGCTGGAGTGCAGATGCCATCACAGCTCACTGCAGCCTGCACCTCCTGGGTTCAAGCCATCTTCCCACCTCAGCATCCCAAGCAGCTGGGACTACAGGTGCATGCCACCACACCCAGCTAATTTTGTATTTTTTGTAGAGATGGGATCTCACCTGGTTCCTCAGGCTGGTCTCAAACTCCTGGGCTCAAGTGGATCCTCCCAAAGTGGATCCCAAAGTGCTGGGATCGCAGGCAAGAGCCACCTCACCCCACCCAGTTTGTGGTGCTTTGTTACGGCTGCCATGGGAGACTCACACAACCCGATACTGCCAACCCCCCTCACTCCCCACCCCGGTTTCACCCTTTCCTGGCACAGGTACCACCACCTCAAATTTAGAGTTTCTCATTTCTAGGCAGGTCTGGAAAATACCATTTTGCATCAGTTTTTTATTTTAAAAAAATTTTCAGCATACAATTCAGTAGGTTTTGGTACATTCAAAAAGTTGTGTGGGCTGGGCACAGTGGCTCACGCCTGTAATTCCAGAACTTTCGGAGGCCAAGGCAGGCAGATCACTTGAGACTGGGAGTTCCAGACCAGGCTGGCCAACATAGTGAAACCTGGTCTCTACAAAAACACGAAAATAGGTGGGTATGGTGGCACATGCCTGTAATTCCAGTTACTTGGGAGGCTGAGGCAGGTGAATCCCTCTCTCTCTCTCTCCCTCTCTTCCTTCTTTTTTTTTTTTTTTTTTTTTTTGAGACAGAGTCGTGCTCTGTCTGTCCCAGGCTGGAGTGCAGTGGTGCAATCTCGGCTCACTGCAACCTCCACCTCCCAGGTTCAAGCAATTCTGCTTCAGCCTCCTGAGTAGAGATGGGGTTTCACCATGTTGTCCAGGCTGGTCTCAAACTCCTGATCTCAAGCGATCCACCTGCCTCAGCCTCCCAAAGTGCTGAATTACAGGCATGAGTCACCACGTCAGGCCTTCCATAAACTTTCTTACCTCATCCAAACCCTTCTGCTACTTTCTTTTCTCTCCCCATGTTCAGTTTGTGAGGCTCCTCCCGGGTGGAGGCTGTGTCTGGCTCTGCTGTAGGGCCCGCCACTGCAGGCAGGATGGCTGTTTATTGAGCCAACATTCCTGGGTAGGAATCTGATGGATACATAGGTGTTTCCGGCATTGCATTCCAGTGGATTTTTACCAGTGCCTCCTGGTGCCTGGGGTCTCCTCCTTCATCTGCGACCTGGACATCCATTCACTCCTCACCAAAGATCACTGAGTACCCGCTGTATGCCAGGCACTGCGCCCTGGGCACTGGGCATGGGGACAGAGCAGGGGAATAGCCCCCGCCCTCCTGGAGCTGACATTCCTCCAGTCCTGGAGAAAAACAGGACGCCAGATGAAATAAAATAGCAGCTGGGCACCGAGGCTTATGCCTGTAATCCCAACACTTTAGGAGGCTGAGGTGGGAGGATCCCTTGAGGTCAGGAGTTCAAGACCAGCCTGGCCAACATGGTTTTAAACCTCATCTCTATTAAAAATACAACAACAACAAAAAAATTAGCTGGGCGTGGTGGTGTATGCCTGTAATCCCAGCTACTGGGGAGGCTGAGGCATTAGAATTGCTTGAACTCGGTGGGCAGAGGTTGCAGTGAGCTGAGATCCTGCCACTGAACTCCAAACTGGGTGACAGAGTGAGACACTGGCTCAAAAAATAATAATAATAACATTAAAAATAATAAAATAAAATAAAACAATGACCTCGCCTAGCAGAGAGTGAGTGCCCCAGCACCCTCAGCCATCCCTGTCCTTTTTTTTTTTTTTCTTTTTGAGATGGAGTCTGGCTTTGTTGCCCAGGCTGGAGTGCAATGGCACCATCTCGGCTTACTGCAACCTCCGCCTCCCAGGTTCAAGTGATCTCAGCCTCCCGAGTAGCTGGGACTACAGGCGTGTGCCACCGCCTCCGGCTGATTTTTGTATTTTTGGTAGAGACGGGGTTTCACCATGTTGCCCAGGCTGGTCTTGAACTCCTGACTTCAGGTCATCTGCCCGCCTTGGCCTCCCAAAGTGCTGGGATTACAGACGTAAGCCACCGCTCCGGTCCTGTCCCTGTCCTTATTTGTGGTCCCTGTTCTTCCAGGGTCCTGAGCTCAGGACCCCTGGACTGCGGGTATCCCCGGGGAGGGCGCAGCTGGCCCTGGCAGGGCCCGGACACCTGGGGCCCAACCCACCCCTGCGCACCCCGTGGTGTCGCCTTCCCGGGCGGCTCGGGTTCCCGGATCCCCTTACCCGGGCTTCTCGGCTGTCGCGCCCTGGGCCGGGGGAGGGGAGGCTTCAGGAAGCAGCGGATCCGGCCGCGGCGGCGGCGGCGGCGAGGGCCCGGGTGGGTGACCAAACTTCTCCCGCCATGGAGGGCGCAGCGGCCCGGGAGGCCCGGGGGGCCGAGGCCCCGCGCGCGTCTGCGCCCCCGCCCGCGCCCTCGGAGCCCCCGGCTGTGCCCCGCGCCCGCCCGCGCCTGGTCTTCCGCACGCAGCTGGCGCACGGGAGCCCCACGGGCAAGATCGAGGGCTTCACCAACGTCCGCGAGCTGTACGCCAAGATCGCCGAGGCCTTCGGGATCGCGCCCACCGAGGTAAGGACCCCGGACCCCCGCGCCCGAGGTCATCCGCCTGATGTGGTGAGGGGTGGGGAGCTTGGACGCTGGACGGGAGACCCCAGATCCCCGGATCCCAGACGTCGGGGTGGCTGCCTAATCCCCGGATCTCAGAGACGCAGCCCTCAGAGAACCGGGTGCCACACCCCAGGGTTCCCCTTTGCACGCTCTGCGCAAAAGATGGGGAGGTCTTAGGTCTAGAGGACGCCTAGATATTCCAGAAAATCCTCTGCGCAGACCTCGCTTGGAGCGGACCCCAGCCCTCGGGGAAGCTCCTCTGTGCTTCCTGGGAGTAGCTGGCGTCTGGGGTTCCAGATGGTCCCCTTGGAGATGGGAAGTCTGAGGCCGTGGTGCGGTTGGGGGGTTCCTGGGCATTTTTCCAATCCGGGTTCGTTTGGTCTGCAGCCCCCAGAGGGCGCCAGCAGATTAAACCTGGAGGTCTTGGGGCTGGAGGTCCTGGGGGTATGGAGAGGGGTCTCCACCTGCCGGAAGCTTCCTTCTCCCTCCTCTCTCCATTCTCGGGAGGTCCCACGCCCTGCCCTTTCCCATGGGCTGGGATCCTGGTCGCCGGGGGCAGGGGCCTGCGCAGACAGGGCGGCTGCGTGGGAGGATGCGTGCCCTGGCTACCTCTGCGTTCCTTCTCCCCCGGGAAGATTTTATTCTGCACCCTCAACAGCCACAAAGTGGACATGCAGAAGCTCCTAGGGGGCCAGATAGGCCTGGAGGATTTCATCTTTGCCCACGTGCGAGGCGAGACCAAGGAGGTGGAAGTCACTAAGACAGAGGACGCTCTGGGGTTGACCATTACGGACAACGGGGCCGGCTACGCCTTCATCAAGGTGCCCGGGGGCGGGGGGGTGGGCGGGTGGCCTCCTGGGGTCCAGCAACTACCCCTCCCTCTGGGTCGACGTGGGTTCTGGGGATTCGAGGCGGGTGGCTGGGGTTGCCCTGCCAGCGACGCTGGATCCCTGCAGAGAATCAAGGAAGGCAGTATCATCAACCGGATCGAGGCAGTGTGCGTGGGTGACAGCATCGAAGCCATCAACGACCACTCCATTGTGGGCTGCCGCCACTACGAGGTGGCCAAGATGCTCCGGGAGCTGCCCAAGTCCCAGCCCTTCACCCTGCGCCTGGTGCAGCCCAAGAGGGCCTTCGGTGAGGCGGGCGGGCTGGCGGGAGCTCTTCCTGAATTGGGTTCTACGGATGCTGGGGGTGGAGGAGGGTCGGGGATGGGACGGGCTGGAAGGTTCTAGGTGCACCCGCTGCATGGCAAGGAACTCCTGGCAGGGTAACAAAAACTCGTAGTTTCTATTAATAGATTGTTATGGAACCAGTCTGTGGGGGAGGGGTGGGGGAGAGACTGGGTAAAGTGGAGTGGGAGGAGGAGGCCTCCAGAACCACTTTGTAGCCAGGCTGGGAGCTTTTTTTTTTTTTTTTTTTTTTTTTTGAGAGGGAGTCTCACTCTGTGGGCCTTGGCTGGAGTGCAATGGCACGATCTTGAATCTCAGCTCACTGCAACCTCCGCCTCCCGGGTTCAAGCGATTCTCCTGCCTCAGCCTCCTGAGTAGCTGGGATTACAGGCACCCGCCATTGCGCCTGGCTAATTTTTATATTTTTAGTAGAGACGGGGTTTCACCATCCTGACCAGTCTGGTCTCGAACTCCTGACCTCAGGTGATCCACCTGCCTCGGCCTCCCAAAGTGCTAGGATTATAGGCGTGAGCCACTCTACGCGCAGCCTGGGAACTTTTAAAGTAGTGCTTTGAGGTCATGTTGGATTCTAGAGAATAAGAATATGAGAAAAGTTTTCTTTCTTCCTTTTTTTTTTTTTTTTTTTTTTTTTTGAGGCAGAGTCTCAATATGTTGCCCAGGCAGGAGCGCAGTGGGGTGATCTCAGCTCCCTGCAACTTCTCCCTCCCAGGTTCAAGAGGTTCTCCTGCCTCAGCCTTAGGAGAACCTGGGATTACAGGCGTGTACCACCATGCCAGGATAATTTTTGTATTTTTAGTAGAGACAAGGTTTCATTATGTTGGCCAGACGGTCTCAAACTCCTGAGCTCAGGTGATCCACCCATCTCAGCCTCCCAAAATGCTGGGATTACAGGCGTGAGCCACTGCGCCTGGCCATGCCAGCTAATTTTTAATTTTTTTCTTTTTTTTGAGATGGAGTTTCACTCTTGTTGTCCAGGCTGGAGTGCAGTGGCGCGATCTCGGCTCACCACAACCTCTGCCTCCCAGGTTCAAGTGATTCTCCTGCCTTAGCCTCCCAAGTAGCTGGGATTACCCAGACAAGAACATACCTAGATTGAGTCTCCTGCCACAAGGAGGGTCCCAAGCAGTCCCTAGAAGAACGAGAGTGAGGGCATGGGACTGGGACGTTAGTTCTAAACTTGCTCCGATACACCTCATTCTGGACTTGTGATTTAGTTCGCTGGGGACGGGAAGTGTGGAATCTCGAATGGGTCTCTAGAGATTCGCCGCAAAGGAGGACTTTGAAGGGGAGGAAGATTCTAGAAAGGCTCAGCTGGTGGCCTCCCAGGGTTAAAAGATGTGGCTCCACCCAGAACCCACGGCCATCCCTCACTCTGTTCCCTCCAGATATGATTGGCCAGAGAAGTCGGTCCAGCAAATGTCCCATAGAGGCGAAAGTGACCAGTGGGAGGGAGACACTGCGGCTTCGTTCTGGGGGGGCTGCCACAGTGGAGGAAGCGGTGAGTGAAGGGGAGGGGTTCTTCCCAGGCTTCTGCACCTGCAGTTCTGTCACTGAGTCAGTGTGGCCTTGGGCAAGAACTTCTCGGAGCCTCGGTTTCTCTGCCTGCAAAATGGGTCCTCATTGAAAGGTGGGGCAATGATGTGGGTACCAGCACTACTGACTCATGTGAGGGTCCAGTCCACTCTAACCTTAGGGGTGGGGGTCTGCAGGGGGCTGGGCTGGAGGGCCTCAAGGCTTTTCACCCCTGACTTCCCTCTCCTGTGCCCTCAGCCCAGTGAGTTTGAGGAAGAGGCATCCCAGAAGGTTGATGACCTGCTGGAAAGCTATATGGGCATTCGGGACCCCGAGCTGGGTAAGGGGCCAGGGTAAGCTGGGGGGCCCTGGCGGGAGGGCAGCCTACGGGAGGAGGCAGGGTCCCAGGGGGATGTTTGGAGTGGGGAGTGCCCTCACTGACAACCCCTCCGGCGTGGCCCGCAGCGTCCACCATGGTGGAGACGTCCAAGAAGACAGTGAGCGCCCAGGAGTTTGCGCGCTGTTTAGACTCCGTCTTGGGCGAGTTCGCCTTCCCCGACGAATTTGTGGTGGAGGTGTGGGCCGCCATCAGCGAGGCCAGGGAGGCCTGTGGCTAGTCTGCCCTGGGGGAGCCCAGCACAGCCCCAGCCTGGAGCCCCGCCCCCTGCCCCGGCCCTGCTCCAGAACCCAGCCCAGATTGGAGGCCAAGTTCCTCTCTAGAGCTCAATCCAATTTGGAGCCCCAGCCTAGCTCCAGAACCCAGCCCTTCTCTAGAATCCAGCCCAGATCTGAGGCCAAGCTTTGTGCTAGAGCCCAGGTCAGCTCTGAGACCAAGCCCAGCATTGAGAACAAGCCGTGTTCTAAAACTCAGGCCAGCCCTGAGACCAAGCCCAGCTCTAGAACCCAGATGAGCTCTGAGACCATGCCCAGCTCAAGAACCCAGATGGGCTCTGAGACCATGCCCAGCTCGAGAACCCAGATGGGCTCTGAGACCATGCCCAGCTCGAGAACCCAGATGGGCTCTGAGACCATGCCCAGCTCAATAACCCAGATGGGCTCTGAGACTGAGCCCAGCATAGAGACCAAGCCCTGTTCTAAAACTCAGGCCAGCTCCGAGGCCAAGCCCAGCTCTAGAACCCAGATGGGCTCTGAAACCAAGCCCAGCATAGAGACCAAGCCCTGTTCTAGAACTCAGGCCACCTCTGAGGCCAAACCCAGCTCTAGAACCCAGATGGACTCCGAGACTAAGCTCAGCTCTAGAACTCAGATGAACTCTGAGACCGAGCCCAGTATTGAGACCAAGCCCTGTTCTAGAGCCCAGGCCAGTCCTGAGGCCAAGCTCAGCTCTAGAACCCAGATGGGCTCTGAGAATGAGCCCAGCATTGAGACCAAGCCCTGTTCTAGAACTCAGGCCAGCTCTGAGACCAAGCCCAACCCTAGAACCCAGATGAGCTCTGAGACTAAGTTCAGCTCTAGAACTCAGATGGGCTCTGAGACTAAGCTCAGCTCTAGAACTCAGATGAACTCTGAGACCATGCCTAGTATTGAGACTAAGTCCTGTTCTAGAGCCCAGGCCAGCTCTGAGACCAAACCCAGTTCTAGAAACCAGATGAGCTTTGAGACCAAGCCCAGCTCTAGAGCCCAGATAAGTTCAGAGACCAAGCCCAGCATTGAGACCAAGCCCTGTTCTAGAACTCAGGCCACTTCTGAGGCCAAGCCCAGCTCTAGAACTCAGGCCAGCCCTGAGACTAAGCCCAGCTCTAGAACCCAGATAAGCTCTGAGACCAAGCCCAGCATTGAGAACAAGCCCTGTTCTAGAACTCAGGCCACCTCTGAGGCCAAGCCCAGCTCTAGAACCCAGATGAGATCTGAGACCAAGCCCTGCTCTGAAGCCCAGGCCAGCTCTGAGATGAAGCTCATCTCTAGAATCCAGCTGAGCCCTGACAACAAGCCAAGCTCTGGAACCCAGACAAATTTTAAGACCCAGACCAGCTTGGAGACCAATCCCAGTTCCAGAATCCAGGCTAGTTCAGAGACCAAGCCCTGCTTGAAAACTCGAGCTGACTCTGGAACTCTGGACAGCTCCACAATGCAGCCACACCTGGACACTCGGTCTAGCTCCAGAACCCCAGTTAATTTTGGAACCCATGTGAGATTCATGAAGCAACCCAGCTCTGGAACCCCAGCCAGCTCAGGATTCAGAGACAGCTCCGAAACCAAATCCTATTCAAGAACTCAGACCAGCTCAGAAACCCAGGTCCACGCAACTGCCCAGTCCAGATCCCAAGCCCAGTTGCGTCCAAGCACCCATCCCCACCCTGCAGCCCAGTCCAGCGCCAGTGACAATTCCAGCTCTGAGACTGAGCCCAGCTCTAGAACCTCACCTAGTGCTACAACCAGGCCCAACTCCAGGATTCAGAGCAGCTCTGGAACCTCATCCATCTTGGAAGCAAGGCCCAGCTCCAGCACACAGCTTGGTGCCAAGCCCCACTCTGCCTGCAGAATGCAGGTCAGCTCTAGAATGCAGACCAATTTCAAGGCCTGGCCAAGCTCCAGCCCAGACACTGCACTCAATTCTAGAACTCAGCTCAGTTCTGGAGCACAGGCTGGTTCTGAAATCCCGGCCAGCTCCAAAATACAGACAGTGGCTGAGACCCAGCCAAGTTCCAGAATCCAACTAAGCTCGGGAGTCCTACCTAGTCCTGGGACCCAGGCCATTGCAGCAACAGAGTTAAGCTCCACAGCCCTGTCTAGTTCTGACAGCAGGCCCAGCTCCAGGACCCAGCGCTGCCCAGGAGCTCGACCAGCCTCTGGGACTCAATTCGCCTCTAAAACCCTGCCAGGTTCTAGATACCAGCTCCAGACCACAGCCCCAGAGAGCTCTGGTATTCAACTAGACTTTGGGGAGCAGACCAGCTCTGGAAGTCAGCCTAGCTTTGGAACTCAGCCCAGCTCTGGGACCCAGATAAGCTCAAGAATTCAAGCCAGCTGTGGAAGTCAGCTTAGTTCTGGAACGCAGCTGATTACTGGAGCCCATCCCAGCTCCAGAACTCAGACCGGTTCTGGAAACCAGCTCAGCTCTGGGACCCAGGCCCGTGCAAGAATTCAGCTCAGCCTCGGAGCTCATCTTAGCTCCAGAACCCAGTCCAGTCCTGAGACTGGGCTCAGCTCTGAGGCTCAGCCCAGCTCTGGAACCCAGCTCAGCTCTGGAACCCAGCTCAGCTCAAGAATTCAGCCCGACTCCGGAGCCCGCCTTAGCTCCGGAACCCAGTCCAGCTCTGAAACTGGGCTCAGCCCTGAAACCCAGACTGGCTCAAGAATTCAGCCCGGCCCTGGAGCCCACCTTAGTTCTGGAACCCAGCCTGTTTCTGGAACCCAGTCCAGTTCCAGAACTCACATCAGTTCAAGAATCTGGCTGAGCCCTAGAAATGGGCTCTCCCCACAGACCCCTGGCCTTGACCCTAGAATCCAGCTTGAGGCCCCTGCTGCAACCCAACCTCAGGCCCCAGGCCCACCCCCCAGAGACCCCACCCCAGCCCCTAGCAAAGACCCCCAGCCTCTGCCTCAGCCCCAAGGTCAGGTTCGTGGCACCCAGGCCAGCCTTGGCCCCATCCCAGGCTTATCCCTCGCCTCCTACCTGGCCCCTCAGCCACAGGTCTCCTCAACCCCCCAGAAGCCAGCCGTCTCTCCCAAGCCCCAGGTGGGACCCCAGAAATCCACCCCACCCACCATATCTGTCACTCTTAGTCCTGCCCCCAGAGGCCTCCTGAGTTCCCAGCTGTCTGAGTCCCCAGCTCTGGCGCCTGCCCCTTCCCCAACTCTGGAGGAGCCAGGGCCCCACCCTTACCGCGGGGGGTCGTAGCTTGGCTGTGACCTAGCCCTGGCTCATGTGGTTCTCACCCTCTCCTGTCCCTCCCAGCCTGGGCCCCCCAGAAGCAGCAAGTGACCTTATTTCCCCAGCAGGCGGTGGGGGGTGTGTGTGTGGTGGTGAAAACAGGGGCTTCGGTTTCACCGGCCCTGGCTCAGATCCAGGTCCTTGGAGGGAAAAGGAGGGCAGGAGATGGGTTGCACCGCATGTACCCTGAGGGCTCATGGTGAATAAAGGCAGCTTCCGTCTCTGCAGCCTGGTGTGTCATTTTGCAGGGAGTTTGGGGGAATGCCGAGATGGGGCTGAGCGGTTGACTGAAACTATGGCAACCTCTCGAGCACCTACTGTGTACCAAGCACTTCATTAAGCACCACATAGGGATGAGCTTACGTGCCTGCATGGGACAGGTGCTCCACGAAGACCCAGCCATTGGTCCTTTTTCTTTTTTTCCTGAGATGGAGTCTCGCTCTGTCGCCCAGGCTGGAGTGCAGTGGCGCGATCTCGGCTCACTGCAAGCTCCGCCTCCCAGGTTCACGCTATTCTCCTGCCTCAACCTCCCGAGTAGCTGGGACTACAGGCACCCACCACCACGCCCAGCTAGTTTTTTTGTATTTTTTTTTAGTAGAGACGGGGTTTCACCGTGTTAGCCAGGATGGTCTTGATCTCCTGACCTCGTGATCCGCCCATCTCAGCCTCCCAAAGTGCTGGGATTACAGGCTTCAGCCACTGCGCCCAGCCACCCGGCTAATGTTTTGTCTTTTTAGTAGAGATGCGATTTCACCGTGTTGGCCAGGATGGTCTCGATCTTCTGACCTCGTGATCCGCCCGCCTCGGCCTCTCAAAGTGCTGGGATTACAGGCGTGAGACGCTGCGCCCAGCCACCATTGGTCCTTTCTCCCAATATTTATTGAGCACCTACCATGTGCAAGGTGCTGTACAGAACACTGTGGTGTTTGAAGACTGTTGGGTGAACAAGTGAACAGTAGAGGAAACAGGGGCATCACTCCATGCTTTTGCATCTCTCTCTCTCTCTCTTTCTCTGTTCTATTCATTTATTTATTTAGAGATGAAGTCTCACTCTGTTGCCCAGGCTGGAGTGCAGTGGTGCGATCTCAGCTCACTGCAACCTCTGCGTCCCGGGTTCAACCAATTCTCCTGCCTCAGCCTCCTGCACAGTTGGGATTACAGGCACCTGCCACCATGCCTGGCTAATTGTTTGTTTGTTTGTTTGTTTGTCTTTAGAGACGGAGTTTTGCTCTCGTTGCCCAGGCTGGAATGCAATGACATGATCTCAGTTCACCACAACCTCCACCTCCTTGGTTCAAGCGATTCTCTTGCCTCAGCCTTCCGAGTAGCTTAGATTATAGACATGCGCCTTCACGCCCGGCTAATTTTTTTTTCTTTTTTTTTTTTTGTATTTTTAGTAGAGATGGGGTTTCTGCATGTTGGTGAGGCTGGGCTCGAACTCCAACCTCAGGTGATCCGCCCGTCTCGGCCTCCCAAAGTGCTGGGACTCCAGGCATGAGCCACCGCGCCCAGCCAGTTTTGTATTTTTAGTAGAGACAGGGGTTCACCATGTTGGCCAGGCTGGTCTCGAACTCCTGACTTCAGGTGATCCACCATCCTCAGCCTCTCAAAGTGCTGGGATGACAGGCATGAACAATCACACCTAGCCCATTTATACCTACTTTTAATAACATGCAGATTCAAAGGTGGTTTGACCAGGGCTAACCTGAAGCCCTCCCATGACAGGCTGCTGGGAGAATTCTAGGCGGTACCACCCATGAAGTGATTACGAAACACTCAAGAAACAAGTGGGGGAGGAACCGGATCCTCTCTTCCCTCCTCTCCTCCCCAGCCTTGCCCTTGTCTGCCCTGGGTGAGGTTCAGTGCACAAAACCCCGGAGACTGACAACTTCTGGACCCAAAGGAAAATCAAACCAAAGGCAGAGATATATTTTGGCAAGAAAAGGGGGGTGCCCCCGTTCACATTCAGTCTTTTCTGGACAGAACCTTCCCGGTTGGTGGTTCAAAAGGAAGCAACAGTACCCCAGCAAGTAGGTCAAATTCAGGGTGAAAGAGCAATGGAAGGCCGGGCGCAGTGGCTTACTTACGCCTGTAGTCCCAGCTGCTCAGGAGGCTGAGGCACGAGAATCGCTTGAATCCAGGAGGTGGAGCTTGCAGTGAGTTGAGATCATGCCACTGCACTCCAGCCTGGGCCACAGAGTGAGACTCCGTCTCAAAAAGAAAGAAAGAAAGAAAAAAAAAGCCAGATGCAGTGGTTCATGCTTGTAATCCCAGCACTTTGGGAGGCCGAGGCAGATGGATCACCTGAGGTCAGGAGTTCAAGACCAGCCCTGGCCAACATGGTGAAACCTGTGTCTACTAAAAATACAAAAATTAGCCGGGCATGGTGGCATGTGTCTATAGGCCCAGCTACTCGGGAGGCTGAGGCAGGAGAAACGCTTGAACCTGGGAGGTGGAGGTTTTGCAGTGAGCTGAGATGGTGCCACTGCACTGCAGCCTGGGGGACAGAGCAAGACTCCATCAAAAAAAACAAAAAACAAAAAACAAAAAACAAAAAACAGCTATGCAAGACCCTCTTCCAATGTCCCCACGCCCTTCCTGGGGCTGGGAGGGGCGCAGAGAAGTGGTAGGAGCTCTGGATGGGACAAGGGAGCCGAGGAAGGGAGACGTCTTGGTAAAAGGATCAGGGAGAAGTTGCGGGTCCCGGGGTTGGATTGGGGTCAACCTCAAAACCCTGCTGCTGACGCCCACTGTCCATCCAGCACCCCCAGCTCCCGAATCCTCAGAACAGGCAGATGGGCTGTCCCAGGGGGCCGAGGGCTCCGCGGAAACGCGCGGGAGGGGCGCTCTGTCCACTTCCTACTGCAGCCCGGAGCGCTGCGTGAGCTGCGGCTGGAGGGACAGCGACCTGGGCCGGGTGCTGAGGCGAGGCTGGAGGCGCCTGAGCACGGCGCGGCGGAACAGGATGTACACCCAGGGGTCCAGGATCTGGTTCCACGTGGCCACGCGCAAGTAGATGAGCAGCTCCTGCTCCGTGGCGCGGGACAGCTGCCCGGAGGGGCTCATGGCAGGCGGGTTCCGCAGCACTGTCTGGGCGATGAAGACCTGCAGAGGGGACAGCGGTCAGCCCGGGCTCCGCCTCCAGCCCCGCCCGCCCCGGTCCCTGCCCCAGGTCCCCTGAGATCCAGGGTCCACTCCGTTTTTTATTTTTATTTTTGAGACACAGTCTCGTTCTGTCGCCCAGGCTGGAGTGTAGTGGCACGATCTCAGCTCACTGCAACCTCTGCCTCGCGGATTCAAGGAATTCTCCTCCCTCAGCCTCCCCAGTAGCTGGGACTACAGGTGCCCGCCTCTACACCCGGCTAATTTTTTTTTTTTGAGACGGAGTCTCGCTCTGAGGCCCAGGCTGGAGTGCAGTGGCCAGATCTCAGCTCACTGCAAGCTCCGCCAACCGGGTTCACGCCATTCTCCTGCCTCAGCCTCCCGAGTAGCTGGGACTACAGGCGCCCGCCACCTCGCCCGGCTAGTTTTTTGTTTTTTTTTTAGTAGAGACAGGGTTTCACCGTGTTAGCCAGGATGGTCTCGATCTCCTGACCTAGTGATCCGCCCGTCTCGGCCTCCCAAAGTGCTGGGATTACAGGCTTGAGCCACCGTGCCCGGCCGTTTTTTGTATTTTTTAGTAGAGACGGGGTTTCACCGTGTTAGCCAGGATGGACTCGATCTCCTGACCTCGTGATTCGCCCGTCTCAGCCTCCCAAAGTGCTGGGATTACAGGCTTGAGCCACCGCTCCCAGCCACCCGGCTAATTTTTGTATTTTTAGTAGAGACGGGGTTTCGCCATGTTGGCCAGGCTAGTCTCGAACTCCTGACCTCAAGTGATCTGCCCACCTCAGCCTCCTAGAGTGCTGGAATTACAGGAGTGATCCACTGCGACTGGCCGGTGTCCACTCTGTTAGTGCATTGCTGGGTGACCTCAGGAGAGTTGACTAACCTCTCTGAGCTCCTTCTGATGCGTCCATAAATTAGAGCACTGTTACCCAGACAGTGGCTCATGCCTGTAATCTCAGCACTCTGGGAGGCCAACAGGAGAGAATCACGTGAGCCCAGGAGTTCAAGATCAGCCTGGGGAACATAGTGAGACCTCATGTCTACAAAAAGTAAAAATAAACTAAAAAGTTACCCGGGCATGGTTGCACTCCAGTCTGGGTGACAGAGCAAGATCCTGTCTCAAAATAAATAAATAAATATAATTTTTAAATAATAAAAATTGTATTTATCTATAGGCCAGGATGATAGGAAATTTTTAAACTCTATTTAAAAATAAATATTTAAAATAAGAATGTTATCTATAAATTAGTATAAAAAATCAATTATATGATAATATAATTATTATTCATAATTATAATGTTGCATATAATTGATATATATCATTTATCATACAATTATATTATAATAAATGTTACATTATATTAAGATAATTTGTTTGAGACCAGCTTGACCAACATGGTCAAACACCATCTCTATTAAAACATACAAAAATTAGCCAGGTGCGGTGGCACACACCTGTAGTCCCAGCTACTTGGGAGGCTGAGGTGGGAGGATCCTTGAACCCAGGAGGCAGAGGTTGCAGTGAGCTAAGATTGCGCCACTGCACTCCAGCCTGGGCAACACAGCGAAACTTCATCTTAAAATAAAATAAAATAAAATAAAATAAAATAAAATAAAATAAAATAATTTGGCTGGGTGCGGTGGCTCACATCTATAATCCTAGCACTTTGGGACGCTGAGGCAGGCGGATCACAAGGTCAGGAGATTGAGACCATCCTGGCTAACATGGTGAAACTCTGTCTCTACTAAAACTACAGAAAAAATTAGCTGGGCGTGGTGGCGGGCACTGTAGTCTCAGCTACTTGGGAGGCTGAGGCAGGAGAATGGCATGAACCCGGGAGGCAGAGCTTGCAGTGAGCCGAGATCGAGCCACTGCACTCCAGCCTGGGTGACAGAGTGAGACTCTATCTCAATATAATAATAGTACTAATAATAGCAACAATTATATATATGTATATATAGTTTGTTTGTTTGTTTGTTTGTTTGTTTGTTTGTTTTTAGATGGAGCCTTGCTCTGTTGCCCAGGCTGGAGTTCAGTGGCGTGATCTCAGCTCACTGTAACCTCCGCCGCCCGGGTTCAAGCAATCCTCCTGCCTCAGTTTCCTGAGTAGCTGGGATTACAGGTGCCTGCCACCATGCCCAGCTAATATTTTGTATTTTTAGTAGAGATGGGGTTTCACCGTGTTGGCCAGGGTGGCCAGGCTGTTCTCAAATGCCTGGCCTCAAGTGACCCACCTGTCTCACCCTCCCAAAGTGTTGGCATTCCAGGCATGAGCCACTGAGCCCGGCCAAAATAATTTATATAATATTATAATGCATCACTATATTAAAAGCATTTCCTGGGCCTGGTGCAGTGGCTCACACCTGTAATCCCAGCACTTTGGGAGGCCAAGGCGGGCAGATCACAAAATCAGGAGTTCAAGACCAGCTTGGTTAACATAGTGAAACCCCATCTCTACTAAAAATACAAAACAATTAGCTGGGCGCCTGTAGTCCCTGCTACTTGGGAGGCTGAGGCAGGAGAATCGGTTGAACCTGGGAGGCAGAGGTTGCAGTGAGCTGAGATCATACCACTGCACTCCAGCCTGGGCAACAGTAGGATACCCCATCTCTAAATAAATCAAATAAATAAACAAATAAAGAAACAAATAAATAAATAAATAATGTTCTGAGCACCTACGGTAGGCTAGATGAAGCAGCAACCGCAGCCAAGAAACACCCAGGGCACACCCTCATAGGCTCACACCTCTAGTCGGGAGATGGACACTGGGCCCAGGGGGGTTACGGCACGGGGTGGGCAAAGCTGTGATGAGGAAGCGATGTCAGAGCCCAGAAGAGGTGCCTGACCTGGCCTGGGGAAGTCACTGAAGGGCAAATGGAAGTGGGCCAGGTGCATCTGCAGGAAGTGCCTGTGAGGACTTTCTTCTGAGGGTAATAGGGAGTCATGGGAGGGTTAGAGCAAGGGTTGACCCATGGGCCAAATCTGACCTGTCACTTGCTTTGGTTTTTTTTTTTTTTTTTTTCTTTCTTTCTTTCCTTTTTTTTTTTTTTTTGAGACGGAGTCTTGCTCTGTTGCCCAGACTGGAGTACAGTGGCACGATCTCAGCTCACTGCAAGCTCTGCCTCCTGGCTTCACGCCATTCTCCTGCCTCAGCCTCCCAAGTAGCTGGGACTACAGGCCCCCGCCACCACGCCCGGCTAATTTTTTTGTATTATTAGTACAGATGGGGTTTCACCGTGTTAGCCAGGATGGTCTCGATCTCCTGACCTCGTGATCCGCCCACTCGGCCTCCCAAAGTGCTGGGATTACAGGTGTGAGCCACCACGCCCGGCTGTCACCATCAGGATTTAAATCCACCCTGGGTGACCAGAGGTCCAGTCAGGAGGGTCGCAGGACCCCGCAGAGCCCCCACTCACCAGCAGGGGCAGCCAACACACGCTGGCCACCAGCATGATGCCCAGGAGCTGAGCCATCATCTCCACCTCGGAGTCCCGGGGACGCTGCTGGGCCGCCTCCTGCCCGTGGTAGACGTGGCACAGGGTGGCCACGCTGACGGTGTTCAGCAGGAAGGACAGCCCAACCGAGAGGCCGCCCAGCATGGAAAAGAGCAGCCCAAAGGCCACGTCCCCCGACTCGGCGCCCAGCGTCAGGAAGCACCAGGACCCCGGGTATTGCACGGTGTAGCGACCCAGGCCCAGCAGGGGCAGCAGGCCCAGCGCCAGCGCGGCCGCCCACACCAGCCCCACGGTGGCCCAGGCGCGACGCTGCGAGGTGACCACTGGGCGCGAGAAGGGCCGGGTGATGCCTAGGAAACGCTCCGAGGCCATGGTGGCCCCCAGCAGCAGCGGGGACAGGCCGAAGAAGATCATGACGACGCCCATGAAGCGGCAGAGACGGCAGCCGGGGTCCACGGCGTGCCACTCGAAGAGCGCGGCGTGCTGGGACACCACGATGGCACCGGTCACCAGCAGCCCCAGGAAGTCGGTGAGGACGAGGCCGCAGAGGAAGGTGAGGAAGGAGGAGCGCGTGTGTGAACCCCCTTGCCGCGCGCCCGCCAGCACGCTCAGGGCCAGCAGGTTGGAGGCCAGGCCCACCACACAAAAGGAGGCGGCGAACCAGGGCGAGGCGATCAGCCGCCTCTCCTCCAGGGTAATGTTTGTGGGCCGGAAACAGGGCCCCAGGGAACTGCCGTTGGGCCACATGGCTCCGGAGCCCTGCGGGATCAGTCACCACCCCATCAGGCTGATGCTGGAGACAGGGCAGGCTGGCACTGGTTCAGGCACACCTGGGAGGCGAGAGAAGATTTGCTTGTGATTAATTCTGCATTTCAGTGTAAGTAGCTCTGGTGAACTCCTACACAACCTTCAATGCCCCAGCTCAAATATCCTCTCCTGGTTTTTTTTCTTTCTTTCTTTCTTTCTTTTTTTCTTTTGAGATGGAGTCTCGCTCTGTCGCCCAGGCTGAAGTGCAGTGGCACGATCTCCACTCACTGCAAGCTCTGCCGCCTCCTGGGTTAACGCCATTCTCCTGCCTCAGCCTCTCTAGAAGCTGGGACTACAGGCACCCGCCACCGCGCCCAGTTATTTTTTTGCATTTTTAGTAGAGACGAGGTTTCACCGCGTTAGCCAGGATGGTCTCGATCTCCTGACCTCGTGATCCTCCTGCCTTGGCCTCCCAGAGTGCTGGGATTACAGGCGTGAGCCACCATGCCCAGCTAATGCTGGTATTTTTAGCAGAGATGGGTTTTTACTACATTGGTCAGGCGGGTCTTGAACTCCTGACCTCAAGTGATCCTCCCGCCTCTGCCTCCCGAAGTGCTGGGATTACAGGCGTGAGCCACCGTGCCTGGCCTTTTTCTCCATTTTCATGGTGTCACTTTTATAATAAATAAACCCTGAAATCCAGTTCTATTTTGGGAACAAAAAACATAACTTCTTCGGAATGGCAGGTTCCCCAGGGACGGCTGGTAGAGAGCAGCAGGCGGGGACCCGTTACCCTCTGTGGGGCTAATGCTCAGCCACACTGCACAACAACATCAGAGCCAAGCCGGGCGCAGCGGCTCACACCTCTTATCCCAGCACTTTGGGAGGCCAAAGTGGGCAGATCACTTGAGGTCAGGAGTTCGAGCCCAGCCTGGCCAACACAGCAAGACCCTATCTCTTAAAAAAATATATCTGGGTGTAGTGGCATGCACCTGTAATCCCTGCTCCTCGGAAGGCTGAGGTTGGAGGATTGCTTGAGCACCAGATGTCGAGGCTGCAGTGAGCTACAATTGCACCACTGCACTCCAGCCTGGGCAACAGTGAGACCCTGTCTCAAAACAAAAACAAAAACAAAAGCAACGCTAAAAAAACCCCCAAAAAACAAAAAATGGGGCCAGGTATGATGAGTGAAGTAAAAATAAAATGAGATGGTTCAAGAACCGGCTTCTGGCCAGGCGCGGTGGCTCACGCCTGTAATCCCAGCACTTTGGGAGGCCGAGGAGGGCAGATCACAAGGTCAGGAGATCGAGACCATCCTGGCTAACACGGTGAAACCCCGTCTCTACTAAAAACACAAAAAATTAGCCAGGCGAGGTGGCGGGCGCCTGTAGTCCCTCCTACTTGGGAGGCTGAGGCAGGAGAATGGCGTGAATCCAGGAGGCGGAGCTTGCAGTGAGCCGAGACGCACCACTGTACTCCAGCCTGGGCGACAGAGTGAGACTCCACCTCAAAAAAAAAAAAAAAAAAGAAAGAAAGAAAAATAAAAAAACAAACATTAGCCGGGCGTGGTGGTGCACACCTGTAATCCCAGCTACTCAGGAAGCTGTGGCAGGAGAATTGCTTGAACCCAGGAGGCCGAGGTTGCAGTGAGCCAAGATCAAACCATTGCACTCCAGCCAGGGTGACAAGAGTGAGACTCCATCTCAAAAATAAATCAATACATAAATAACAACAACAAAACAAAAAGGTCCTATTAGGATCCTCATTTTGCAGATGGTGAAACTGAGGCACAGAGAGGTTAAGTCAGTTGTCTAAGGTTACAGCACCTGGCTGGAGTGGATGTGAGGTTTTATTTATTTTTTATTTTTCAGAGGTGGAGCCTGGCTCTGTGGCCCAGGCTGGAGAGCAGTGGCACAATCTTAGTTCACTGCAGCCTCGACCTCCTGGACTCCTGCCTTGGCCTCCACAGTGCCAAAACTACAGGTGTGAGCCACCATGCCTGGTCTAGCATTTTCTTAAAAGTTGGTCAGACTAGACTGGAACCCTGGCTTCGCTGTGTGCCCTCTCATTGACCTTGGAATTGGCGTGTTTCTACTGTGAGCCTCAGTTTCCCTTCCTATAAAATGGGACTGATATGGCTGACGCCTGTAATCCCAGCACTTTGGGAGGCCGAGGTGGGCGGATCACCTGAGGTCGAGAGTTCAAAACCAGCCTGACCAACATGGAGAAACCGCGTCTCTACTAAAAATCCAAAATTAGCCAGGCGTGGTGGCGCATGTCTGTAATCCCAGCTACTCGGGAGGCTGAGGCAGGAGAATCGCTTGAACCACCAGGAGGGGAGGTGATGTTTTGGGGCCAGAAACGGGGCCCCAGAGCCAAGATCGTGCCACTGAACCAGCTTGAGCAATAAGAGCAAAACTCTGTCTCAAAAAAAAAAAAAGTGGGGGTGGGGGCTGGTGACGGGAATGAACTGATCCACATGCAGCACCCAGCACGCCACAGCAGGCGCTCAGTGCTTGCTGGCCCTGAGGCAGTGCCTGGGCTGCGGGGTTGCAGCAGCTAATGCGTTCCAGGGCGGTCAAATGGGTGACTGTGGCCCTCACTCCCCATCTCATCTGTGGCTCTTTGGCCCGGTTGCTGGGGTTGGCTACACTTTATCCAGCCTCATAAATTATCCAGCTCCCGACAGCGGCATTGCACTCGCTTCCTGGGCGGACAGCTAAGGCCATTGCCGCTGTGGTGGGAGGTGGGGCTTCCAGAGGAGAAACTGAGGCCTGGAGAGCAGATGCGGTGGGGGGCTCCTCGCGGTCTCTGGCAATCATTGCCGTCCACCCCGGGCTGCTTTGACGCCTGGGATTTGGATTCCTGCACTTGGATTTCCCCTGGGACAAAGCGTTCCTCCCTCGAGAGCTGGTATGTGCTGTTTCTGAACATTCCTTGGGACTCGGCTGTCCCTGCAGCCACTGCCCCGACTTCTGCCTGGAGCAACTTCCAGTCCCTCCTGGGTCTCAGGGTCTCCTCGACCACACTCCACTCACCGGGGGTCACACACCCAGAACTCCCTCACACCTCCCGTGGCTGGGAGCAAATGCATGGCCCAGAGCCCGTGGCCCAGGGGAGCCTGGAAACTGGCACTGAGTCCTTCTGGCCACAGCTGGCTGTTTCCAGTCCCCCCGCCACCTCCACTCCCCACCCTGGGTTCAGGTGATGGCAGCCGTCTCAAGTTCTCCAGGCAAGGAGGCCAATGGGGGGACCAGGCAGGGCCTCCCTTCCCTCCTGCATTGGCCAGGAGGGGCAGCAGGGGCCCCCACCCCGTGGGGGAGTAGAGCAGCACCGTGCAGCTCTTGGGAAAATTACTGTCCCTCCCTGTGTCTGGGGAGAGGTGTGGACCCAAGATCCCTTTTTCATGCTGAATAATTCCAGAATTTTGCAGCCTGAGAGCAGGCGTTTGCCCTTAGTGGGTCCAGGGTTCTAGAACTCTAACATGCTTCCTTCAGTCCTGGAACGCAGAATGCCCCTCCATTCTAGAATCCCAGGAGGCTGAGGTCCTGCAACTTTGATGGAAATTTGCCTGGGTCTCGGGTTCCAGAAATCTCTGTCGTAATTCCCGGCTTCTTTCTGGAAGGCGGACAGTGAGTTCCTCCTCAGCCGATGCCACCCCTGACAGGGGACCCGGCTCGCGGGTCGTGTGACTTGGAGGGCTCTGTCCGGCGCTGTTTCCAGAGGCCTGGGCGCTGGGCTGGGCGTGGGCACCAGGCCTGGCTCCCTCAAGCCCGGTTGCCAGTGGAATGTGATCCTCGGTTCCCAAACAGCAGGCCTCTCCTCCACTCCACGTTCCATCCTCATGTCCCGTCCCTCCTTCTCCTCCTCCTCCCTAGAGCGCGGCCCCTCATCATCCATCCATTTCTCAACAAGTCCGCTCTCTTCAGCACCCCACCCTGCCCGCCCTGCCTGCCTGTCATGGCCTGAGCGCATCCCGCCTCCGCCAGACAGGCTTGGAGGCTGTAGTCCCCGATCTGCCACTGCCAGGGTGGGGCTCCACCTTGCCGAGCCTTAGTTTCCCCGCTCTGTGCAATGGGGGTGAGATTCTGATCTCCACGCCTGCAGGTGCTCCGCCCAGGCCTCCCTGCCTCTCACCTCTCCAGGGCGCCTGGCTGTACTCACAGCTCAGCTCCCTGCGAGGTGCCCGGCAGCCAGGAGGGAGCCCTGAGGCTCCGTGTCACCCCGGTCGACCTTGGACCTTGGACCCACAGGGCCCTTTTGGGCCTGAAACTTCAGGGACCAGGCCAGATCCTCCCATGCCTGCTGTAGACCCGAACGCTCATGGGCGCGGACCCTGCACGGATGTGGAGGCAGACACATTCCATACCCTAATAGGCCCATCTCCCCTCACCGCAAAGCTCTGTTTCCGGGAACATTTCCTGTTTGTGACACCAACAGGGTCCCCAGCCCATAGGGTGCAGGGCAGGGACGTCCCCAGCCAGCCAGACTCCCACCAGCCTTGTTTGGGCCCTGAGTCACGTGGCCCCCTGTGAGCCTCGGTTTCCCTATCTCTCCAGTGGTGGCTCCCCCAGGGAGCACGCAGGGAGCCTTCTTCACACAGGGGCCGGCAGGGGACCAGGGGGCGGGACCCAGGCAGTGTGGCTGGTGGTTAATGGTGGATCATGAGCTACAGTGATTCCACCAACACACACCTCAGGCCACCGCCGTGTGTGCACACTCGAGACACACACAGATAGCCACACACACACACAGGCAGAAACACAGCAGACACAGGCAGAAATGTGACAAACAGAAACACAGCAGGTAGACGCACAGACACGTACAGACACACACACAGAAACATGGCAGACACACAGACACACGCAGACACACACAGAAACACAACAGACACAGGCACACACAGACACACAGACAGAAACATGGCAGACACACAGACACACAGAGATAGACACACACAGAAACACAACACACAGACACACACAGACAGACACAGGCAGAAACACTACAGACACACAGACACACACAGGCAGAAACATAACAGACATACAGGCAGAAACACTACAGACACAGAGACACACATAGACACACAGGCAGAAATGTGACAGACACAGACAGAAAAACACAGACACACAGGCAGAAACACAGCAGGTGCATAGATACATACAAACACACACAAACAGAAAGATGCACAGATGAACACATAATGTTTAACAGTCCCAGACGCTTGGCAGAAACACACAGTCACACACACACAACCGCCACACACGCACAGACACAGACACACAACCAGAGCCACGCATGGTTCACTCCCAGAGACAAAATCACACACACACAGCCACACAACCACACTCGATCCCTGCCACATCCAGGGCCTGGGCCCCCTCCCCAGCTGTAGCCACCTGAGTCTGGGACCCCCGTTCACAGCCATGTGGCCCCACAGAGACCAGAAGCACCCCCAACAGAATCAGCCTGGGCCACACCCAGATCCAGCTGCCTGGGCGCCCAGTGCAGGCCTCAGGGCACCCATGCCATCCCTGGGCCACACAGGGGACACCTGGCACCTGGCCACTGTCACCGCGGGCTTTTGGACACACCCACAGCAGGGCAGGGCCAGCACCGGATGCGCCCAGCAGCCTGGGCTCAAGCCAGAGCAGCGCATCCCGCCCTGAGCCGGCAGGGCGACCTCACCTTCAGAGACCTCATCTGCGGGGCTCCCACCTGGCTGGATCCTGCGCACGGGGGTCCGGGTGCCGTCTGGAGCTGGGCAGGCAGATGTGCGGGCGCCGAGGCTGGGGCGACGGCTGGAGGCAGGCAGAGGGAAGGGAAGGACGGGATCCAGTGGGGCCTCCCAGGGAAACTGAGTCAGTCTGGCTGTGGCCAGGGGCGGGCCCAGCAGAGGACCCTGGCGCTGGCCCGTCACCGCGGGACACAGATGGAGGGCGTGGCGGCACAGGATGTCCCGGGGGCGCGGCCTGGAGGAGTCTGCCGGGGTTAAGCCGAGCTGGGACGGGTGGGGGCCGCTGGCAGCCCGCGGCTCTCTCTCTCCGTCTTGTCTCTCTCCGTCCTGTCTCTGTCTCTCGCTGTCTCTCATCAGCCCCGCCCACCCTGCGCTGGCCACGCCCCTCGGGCCCAGGCCTGGCTGACTTGGGGTCAGTGGGTGCCCCCAGCACGCCGGGACTTCCCCGCTGGGGAAGGCGGCGCCCTTGGGACCCCCAGGCTGCAGGTGGCAGGGATGCAGTGGCTGCGGTGGGGGTGGCAGGGGCCCCTCCTCGGGAGCCTCAGCCCCTCCAGCCGCCCAGCGCCCTGCCAGGCCTCTTCCCAGCGCTCCCGCCGCCAGGCCCGCATTATTCACCATCTGGGCAGCACCCAAGGCCTGGAGGGGGCGGGGCAGGTCCAGGCGGATCGGCGCCCCGGGGGCGCCCAGACTCCAGGGCTCCAAATGCACTGGGTGCGCTGAAGCCCGGCACACAGTAGTGTTATGCCCTGCTTAATACATGCAGGACATGTTTGAGGCCCCTTCCAGGGGTGGGGTGGGAGGACAGAGGAATGGGGGTTGCACCAGACTCCACAGCCAGACTGAGAAAGGTGGTCCCAGAGCAGGTGAGCCGGGAGGGCTGGGGTGATGGCATTGCACAGGAGAGTCTCTTGAGGAGGAGGCTGGGAGGTGGCTTTGGAGCCAGAGGAGGAATGGTCTGGAGCCGGGCGGCATTGGGGGATGGGCACTCTTTCCTGCCCACCCCCCACCTCAGGCTGGGGAAGGAGGGAAAGGAGCCGGACAGGAATGACTGAGAAGGTGCGGGACACAGGGCCTGGGACCGTCTCTTTGCAGAGGGGGGGTCCTTTGGCCTCCTTGGCCTTGTTTGCACACCAGAGCCAGACACGACCTTGAGTTAGGGACCGGACAAGTTGGCCTGGCCCTGACTCCACCCCGCCCGGTCCCCTGGGCCCGGGAGGGCTGCAAGTCCAGGCTGAGTGAGGGGGATTCCCACCCTGGCCCGGTCCTCTCGTCAGTCTAGCCCGGAAGCCCCTTCCCCGGCTACCCCGCCCACTATCCTTCCTCCTCCTGGCCTTCAGCCACACCCAGTCTCCCTCCCGAAGCTCCATCCCATTGAGTCACCAGCCATTTAACACAACTTCTGTCTTCCCTGGCAAGGAGCCCGTCCAACTCCTATGGATCTGGCAAAACCCTGGCTCCAAGGCCGCTCTTCCATGAAGCCGACCTGAATCTCCAAGTCTTACTCTCCCCAACGCCTCTCTTTGTTCCAGCCTATACAGTGGGACAATTATGAGCTTCAATTGAGATCTGAAACCAGGCTTGCCCTTCAGGATGCCCTAGGCTGGAGAAAGAACTGGACACAGACTGTTCCAGCCCCTGGAGTCAGGGCTGGGCCAAAGGAAGTGACAGGGCCCAGGGAAGCCCAGAGGTGAGCTAGGAAGGCATCTTGTGAGGAGAGGGCATGGGAAGTGGGGTTTTGTGGGATGAATAGGAGCTCCCCAGGTCTGGGATACATGGCAGTGACAGGAAATGCATATATAAAGCCTTGGAGGCAAAAGAGAGCATGAGGCCCTTGCTACACTAACTGCAAGGAGGGCAGATGTGGGGGGAGGAGGATGTGGGACGGGGGCTCCAGATGAGGGGGCAGTGAGAGGTGGAGGAAGGCTGTCCTGTCCCCACTTCCTCCGTCCTTGGCCCTGAGATAACAAGGACAATGTCTCTTCAGGGAAGCAGCCTGGGCAGGGTTCAGAGAATGACACTTGCATTTAGCTTAAGTCTCACCACATCTCTGCAAGGCAGGGCGTAAAAATACTCTAAATTTTAGAGATGGGGAAACTGAGGCCTGAATAGGGAACGGTGCCGCACCCACGTGTGGGATTGGAACATGAGCGCTGGGCTTCCCAGTCATCTGGGGCTGGTTGCTGGAGGTCTCCTGGTCTTGGCCTGCCCCCCACAGGCACCTCGGGTTCAATGGGAGCACAGGAGGCTCTGGTGGGAGGAGTTGTGAGGGGCTGGGGGGGCAGATGGTGGGAACAGAGGCCAGGCTCAGGATGTGCCCCCCGTGGCTGCGGTTTTCCGGCAAGGACCGGGCAGGGAGCTTCTATTCTTAGCTCTGGACATGGCTAAAGTCAGGAAGTTGGGGTGGGGGCAGGGCAGCTTCCAGGACACCCGGTGAACCTGGGGGCAGGGTTGGGAGTCATGGGGCAGATGGGGTGGGGGTGTGCAGCGCCTACCCCTGGCCCCCACCTCCAGTCTGCCTACAGAGTCTCCCTGACACCCAGCTCGGAGGCCCTCCCCGGCTCACGTGCCCTCCGTAGCTCCCTGGTGCCCTGCTCCCCCAGGCTCCTTAGCTTGGCCTGAGCCCTGTGTGCCCCCTGCCCTGGGAGGCCTCTGGCAAATCATATGCCTTGCCATTTACATGACAGCCATCTCCCTTGGGGTACAAAGGGCAAGCGAGGAGGAGGGAGCAGGATGTGGGGGCTGGGGGGACCTCTGCAGGGGCGGGTGGGGAAACTGAGGCAGGGACAGGGATGGTGGTCTGGGATTGGCATTCTCCAAAGTAGAGAAACCCAGCTTCTAATACTGGCTCTGCCACTTTCTGGGCTTGAAAACGTGGGCTTATTGTGGGCCTCAGTTTCCCGAGCAGCCAAATGGAAGTAAATATTGTCACATATTGCTGGTGTGAGGTCTGGGTTAGGCCCGGTATGGGCTGGACTGCACCAGCCACGCACACACAACCTGGGCTGTGACTACAGAACCCAGCCTGTCTCAACCACCACTCTGGGCTCAAAAGTGCCTTGTGGTGTTGAGGATGTAGAGAGCTGCGATCACGCCACTGCACTCTAGCTTGTCTCAAAAGAACAAAAAGTGCCTCCCGAGCCCAGCCCGGACTCAGCCCTGCTCCCACCAGCCTGTCCTGATCGGCGGTGGAGCTGGCCAGGGACCCACGCAAGAGGCTGCCCAGAGGATTCTAAGATGGCTCTGGCCATCTGCCGTTGACTTGTGACGTCTGCTAAAGGCTAGGCCGGGGATGGCGGTGCCGTGTGCGCTGCAATGCGATTTGGGATTCTGGAGCAGGCTGGTCAGGGTCTGCAGCGTGGAGGGGACTCTGATCAGATGCATTTCCCTGGCCAGTTGCCAAGGCCTGTGCCAGAGACTCCTGGGATCCTGTTAGAGGCTGGGGCCGGGAGGTGACCAGTGACTGGGGGGAGTGCAGGATCTGCCTCCCACCTCTGCCTACTGCGGTGAGGACATTTGGGGAGGCTCATCCTGGGCACTGCGGCACGCTGGGCAGCATCCCTGGCCTCCACCCACTCCATGCCAGGAGCAGTCCCAAGGCGGGACCACCACCACGAATGTCTCCAGGCATGGCCAAGCGCTGCCCCGACGACAGCCTGGGCCCAGGCCAGCAGCTGTGTCCGCCCTTGTACCCTCCCTCCCGTCGTCTGGGGAATGGACCATCACCCCACTGTGGGAAGCAACGCAGAGGGGGTGGGGGGCAAAGACAGACCCGGGCACTAACGCAGCTCCCGAGGGACCACCGGGCCCCAGTTGGGTGCCGTGTTGCTTCCCAGGCTCTTCCCTTGTGACGAATGCACCGTGTCACAAACGCCGCCAGCAACTAGCGCAGCGGGTGTGGGGCGCTGGGGACGCTGCACTCTGCATTCCGGCAAACCTGAGATTATTCTAAAATAAAACGTTTATTAAAAAAACATGCAATCTTGTCAATAGGCCAGTTCCATGAGAATAAAATATCTTTTTTCCCCACCTACAAAAGTCTTTTTAGAGAAACAAACGAACCTATTTCCAGATGAGGCAGGGCGTCTGGGCAGGGCTGTGGGTGGTCTGGGGCTGGTGACTGGTGAGGTTGGGTGGCCCTTTGGGGGTCCGGGAGGCGCATTCCATTTTGCTTCCGTTGGAGATGTTCCCGTCAGATGCTGAAGGAACAAGCCTGCCAGCTGGGCCACTCCAACCTGGGCTGTGGCATCCGTGTGGCCCTCGGCCCTCCTGGCCTGAGAAAGGGGAATGAGACGGAGCTACAGTCCTGACACGGGCGGAACTCGGGGTCACTGGTCTCCTGCCCCAAGGCCCTGTGAGCAGGCCAGATGGGGGGATCCCCGGGGGAAGCCCCTCACCATTCTCCAACCCCCAGGCTTGGGGAGCCCCTGCCCTCCAGGCCCTGTGCTCGGAGGCTGGTGGAGAACGGCTCAGCGGCTTTTAGTTCCCATGACCATGAGAGGAACGGGCACCCCGACGCGCCTTCCACACCCCGCTGCGGGGAAATGGAGCCACAGCCAGCAGGGTGAGTTGGGGGCCAGGCCCTGCAGAGTTTGGGTGTCCACAGATGGTCTCTTCCACAGTGGCGGATCAGGTGCCAGCAGCGTTCTGGCCTCAATGCTGCCAATGCGGGTGAGGGTGGCCTGTGGGCAGGGCTGGAGCTGCCCCACAGCCCCGGGCTCTGCCTCACGCCCAATGGGTGCCCCGTGATGTGTCGGGGCTGGCCTTGAGTTTCCTGCTTCTCACAAGCCTGGCGCCGCCAAGCCCGGGCCCCGCTGGCCCATCTCCAGGGCACCTGTGTGGCTGCCACCTGGGGCAGGCCCTGTGGACCCCACACCCAGCCTGGCTGAGGGGCGGCGGAGCGTGTCCGCCTGGGCAGTGAGGTCAGCTGGTGGCTGCTGGCCGCCCTTGTGCTCTAAAGATGCCCCCAGCGCCCCCTCTGATGCGTCGGGACCCTGGGCCAGCCTGTCCCAGCGTGTCCTCAGCTCACCAAGGCAGGCTCTGTGGTGACCCTCCTTTTACATAGGGGGAAACTGAGGCCCGGCAAGGGGAAGATGCAGCCTGAGACGTGAACCCGTGGCCCTTCAGCCCAGACAGTGGCCCTGGAGTGACTGTCAGCTTCACCAAAGTCCCTTTATTGCGGCCCCCGAGGACACCTGCCTGCCCTTCCCCGGGGCATCACCGCCGGTAGCGGTAGCGCTTGAAGTGGAACCACAGCTGGAAGATGCCGTTGGCAAACTGGCAGCGGAAGCCGTGGCGGTGCGAGTATTCCCACTCGCGGTTGACGATCTTGAAGGCGATGTCCTCGTAGGGCGGCCCCGCGTGGAAGCGCAGGATGGCGAAATCCTTGTTGTCGGGGCAGGCCTCCAGGAAGTACTCGGGCGTGGAGCGCTTGTCGATGAGGTCGGGGTAGAAGATGTTGAACTTGTAACCCTGCACGATCTTGGGCGGCGGGTTGTCGAAGTCGTAGTGTGTCTGGTTGTACTTGTTCCACTCGAAGCCCGTGTGCACGCGGTTGAAGAAGCGCGGCTTGCGTGGCCGGTACTTGTCGGCCCACAGGTAGGCCTTGCCGGTGAGCGGCATCTCCACGCTGAACTGCGCCTCGTCCTGGCCCATGCCCTCCTTGGCCCGCCGGAAGAAGATGTCCTCGGCGCTCTCGCTGGCGTCTCCTGCGGGCAAGACGGCGTTCACCCGGGCCTCGGCCTTCCCCTGCGTCCTGGCCTCCCTCCCAGCCTCTCTGACAGGGGAGGCCGCTGGTGTCTCCCACAAAAGGGAAACAGGCTGGGGCGGGCTAAGGCATATGGTGGGGGACAGGGCCTGGGGGACCCTAAGACCCGCACTATCTACCCTGGGCCCCGGACCTTGGTTGTTCTATCTATCGTCCTCCTGGGTGGGGACCAAGCGCAGCGCGCTTCCCCGCCAAGCAGCAGGAGAGCCTGGTGGTTAGGGCCTGGCTGCGGGGTCCAGCCCCACGCACGACCCCCGAGGGGGTCCTGGCCCAGGAATTTTCTGAAGCTGGTATTTTCTCCTCTGTCTTAGGACGGAGGCCGCCCAGGCAGTGCTCGGACAGCAGCCTGTGAAAGCTACCACCACCTGTGGCCCCAAGGCCAGCGGGCCAGCAAGCCCAGGATGAATCAGTGAACGCCCCAGGGCACGTGCAGGTGACTGAACGGATGCTCAGAGACCCGGGGGACAAGAATGGAGCAGCAAGAATGGAGCAGCTCCCCATTGACGCCAGGGGCTTCCCCCAGGAAATGAGGCTGGAGGAGCCCCGCCCCCTGCAAGTCCAGCCCCGCCCCCTGCATCTCCAGCCCCGCCCCTAGCTGGACCCACTGGCCCCGCCCCCTTGCCTCCAGCCCCGCCCTTACCCGTGACCTGGAGCTGCTGGCGCGAGAGCTGCAGGCGCTGCAGGTCCTCGTCTGGCTCCAGCACGTGCGCGTCCAGTGGCAGCTCGTGCGCCGTGAGCAGCCGCGGGCTGTACCTGCCAGCGTCGTAGTCATCCAGGCTCTGCTGAATCAGGTCCTCCTCCATGAGCACCGCCTCGCCCTCGCCCTCGCCCTCACCGTCGCCGTCGCCCTCTGTCGGGGCCGCGCCGTCCACCTCGGCCTCCGCCGGGCCGCCCTCCGAGGAGGGCCCGGGCGGGGTGGGCGCCGCGTCCTCAGGCTCCAGGCTGGGGAGGAGAGAGCGTTGGAGGGGCGGAGGCCGCCCACGGCCCCTCCATCCTGTTCCGCGTCTGCATCGGCGTCCAGGGGTGCCGGCCGGGCCGGGCCTACCTGCGGCTGGGGGACTGAGGCTCCTGCTTAAGGATGGGGAACAGCGGCTCGCTCTCCACACCCTGCTCCTGCTTCAGTTTGTACAGCTTCTGCCGCAGCACGTCCTGGTGGCGCTCGCGCAGCCTGGGACGCAGGGCCGGGGTCACCCACGTGGAGGCGAAGGGGCTCCACGCCCCAACCCCACAGAGATTCTCACCCCCCTTTTTGCTGCAAAGACCCTGAGAAGGTGGCGAGCAGCCACGGCTCTGGCTGGGACGCTTGGCCAGTTCAGGGTCAAGGCTTATGGGAGCGAGGACGAGGGGACCCAGCTACCCGGAGAACCATCCTCTGGCAGGGAGGGGTGGGTCTGGGTCTCACATTGGAGTCTCAGTGTCTTGTGGCTGGGGCTGGCCAGGAGAAGGGGCCCAGCAGGACACCAGCCAACAAGCATGATACATTTAGAGACATTTACAGATTAGCAAGGGAAACATGTATTTACACAGCGGTGCCAAAAGCACTCCAGGAATCTGTACACAGCCAGAGGCCGGGAGGCAACAGCGCCGCGAGGGCGCGGGCCGGGGGGAAGGCAGCATGGACAGGCAGGCGGCCTCAGGGCTTCCCGTGATGCCGTGGCTGCTGGAGCCAAGTACTCGTTAAACGGCAGAAGCTCCTGGGGAGCCCTGTGAGACCAACGGGGCTCAGGACTCCGGGTGAGGGCACCGGAGCATCCTGGGGCCTTCCCGCTAGGGGACGGGCCTGCGTGACCCCCAGCCCCCCTTCATCACTCATAGGTGGGCCCCAGCCAGTTGGCACTTTCCTGCCCCCTCCACCCCACAAGGTCCCAGGAGGAGGCGAGACCCACCCGACCCAGGACCCAGGAGGGGGCAAAACCCACCCCACCTGGACGGCACCACCCCTGGTGCCCGCACCCAGTGCTCACCGGGCCCGCGCCATGTGGGCACGCAGCTGCTGCAGGAGGCTCTCCCAGTAGCCCATGTCCAGGTTGGGGCCCCCAGCGCGGATCTTGCCCTCGATGCCCTGGAAGATGACCTGCAGCTGGTTGTATGTCTTCCCCTTGAACACCGACTGCACGTCGGAGCTGACGGAGGCGTTGACCCCCTCGCGGCGCTCACCTGCAACAGGGTGGGGTCATGGGGGGGTGGTTCCACATTTCCTAGATGCTCCTCCACCCCATCAGGGCCTCCTCCCCTGCTATGGGGGGTCCCCCTCCCCCCTCTTCCCCCACAGGGGTCCCATCCAGTCCAGTTCCCTCCCCTCACAGGGGTCCCGCCTCCTCCCTGATCTCAGGTTGCCCCACTCTGGCCACAGCGGAGGGGACGGGTGGGCGGAGGCTGGGAGCCATGTTAAAATGCAGATGCTGCCTTGCCTGGAGGCCCAGGCCCCTAGTGTTGGGGAGCCCACGACTGGCATTCTCAGCCCTGAGAATGACCTCCCTAAGTGAGTCTGACATGTGGGTCTGGTCGTGGGCCCGGCCCACCCAACTCTGCCCTGGCCTTGGGCAGCCCATGAGGGAGTGAGGGGTGTGCTCGGTAGCCAAGTTCTCTGGAATTCAGATCTGCTCTGCCAGCCTGGGCTGTGTGACTGTGGGCAAGTAGCTTGCCCTCTCTGGGCCTTGGTTTCCCTCTGTGAAGCCCAATGATCCAGGGAGCTCTGCCCTGGCAAAGAAGGCCGCCCTGCTGGCCCCTGGGGAAGTCCTGGGGCCGCCCCCCATCCTACATGGAGTCTGGCATCTATCACTGGCCCGGGGGCCCAAGGCTCAAGTCCCTCCTCTATAGACGGGGAGGCCGCTGACGGTGGGAGTGGGTGCTGGGAGGCTGGAGCCCAGCCTGACTCCACGTGCTCTGCCCACACCACGTGGCATGCCGGCAGCCTCAGGGCTGCTTTGAGGACACTGCCACCCACCCCGCTGGGTCTGGCCTCACCTCACAACCCTGCCCCCCTTGCTGCCCATGCCAGACCCCTGCCACCTCTGGGCCTTTGCACGCGACGTGCTTCCTGCCAGCCACCCATCC